ATTATCTGGATTTGTGAATGAAAGAATTTTCTCAATGTGGAACATATGGCAATGCTCAGAAACCGCCTATTGTAATTTGTATTAGTTTTTCCTGCAAATCAAAGATCTAAAAATATGCTCATTTCTGATCTGGCTATTGAGTTTCTTTCAATGGTCTGTTTGAGTAATGTGGCTTTATAAGTTCCAGAATATCTCAGCTGTGCAGGGCAAAGAAAAGAAAGCACAGGCTTGGCTTCTGTAGATTTCCACTACCAGGCAGTATCACCTCTGTCTGGAACAAAATAGGGAAAAAGAACAAAACAGAGAAAATTTTCCAGCTGGGAGTGCAAATCAGTATGTTGGGGTCATCTCTAGGTCTTGCCATGTCATACTGAAATGCAACAGCACAGCTTGACATGCTTTTGTTCTTTTCTTCCCTTGCAAAGATAACTTAGAATGCTTTAAATATACCCTGTTCTAGTGTGGGTGTCTCTGGAGTCAGTACTGGGAAGGCACTGGAGAAAGCACAATATAAAACAGCGAGATCATGGAAGTTATAGCTCTGGGTGAAAAAATTATGAATTGACTGATATCAATCAAAGAACTAAATGTTGAAGAGGAAAAGAAATTCATATTTAAGAACCTTCTAGAAGGAAAGCCACTGTAAAACCATAACCTACTAGATTAGAAAAGACTCGGGAGCTAATACATTTTTTTTCACGTGGAGAGATTTTGAGAACAATCTTTTTGTTCATAGTCTGCATCTGAAAGGAAATGAAAAATTCTGGTGATTTTGGAGGAGCAGAGAGGCGACATGAAATTTTACAAGGAAGGGTCACCAACCACACAGCATGGGATTTATCGTTAGCCTTTCTGTACGACACTGACAGCAGTGCAAATGTTGTGGCTCAGTTCAGTTGCAGTGAAGGTTAGAGCAGAGTATATTTTCAAATTAAAAACAGAAACAGCTGGTATTTTTAGCTAAATCCATAGATAATTTTTCAACAAAGCATCTCTCCAGATGACAGTTTAGTTGGTTAATTTTTATATTGTGGGTTTTTTGTTTGGTTTTTTTTTTTTTTTTCCAATCTACTGCATATGGAAATCAGACATCCAAGTCAAGGCAGCCAAGCTCCTTTCTGAAATTCATAAAACAAGCAGCCCCCTCCAGTGACTTCATTCATCTCAAGATAAGCATTTCAGATAGGTCACAGGAAACAGCTTCTACAGCTGCCCATTGCTTTCCGTTTACTGAACCAGAAATCCATGTGATCAGTTCAGATTTGCACATATAACTTTTAGATAACCAAAGCCAAGTGAGATAACTCCTACCCCCTCCTTAAGATTAACACATCATATGGTTTGCCTGCTGTTACACAAGCAGCTGTACCTACAGGTGCTTCAGAGCTTCATAGGACAAACTTTTTAAAAATATAATTTAAAGTTATTGCTACTGTTTATAAAAGCGATTTATGGTCATACAAAAATTTTGTTGTATTAAGAAGGAATATGCTATTAATAAATATTAGCGTCAGTGCCAACCTAGTTACATGTTCTAAAAACATAATGGCAGCCAGTGGATACTGTAACAATCTATAAAATGTGATTAGTCATGTCTTACAAACATTTTAGTTATCGAATAACCCTTTATTTAAGGAACCATCATAAAAGGTGACTTTTTTCATTAAGCCCTCATTGAAACAAATATACTTGACTAATTAAAATTAGCAGCAATGATAGTGAAAACTCATGCTGATTCACCCAGGAGAGTGATTCTGGATGTAGATATTTCCACCTTGGGGTCACTGGTGCAAATCCAGACAGATCTGTAGAGATTTCAAACTACTCCAGATTAAATGTTTATTTGTTTATCTAATGAATTATGAATCTTGGTTTTGTTCCTACTGAGCAGATGTCCAAAAATCACTTTTGTTAGTGATCCTGTAAGGAGATAAAGAAAGCAGGAGATACGTTTACACTGGACTGACTACTCCTCCCCTAGAGCCATATAATCACCTTGCTACAGGTCAAACGTGAAGGACAGTATGTGAACAGGTCTGAAAATCCTAGGAAAATAATTTAAAAATATTATTTCAGTACTTTTTTTTTATATAGCTCTAGTTATAGCAGAGATTTTCATTTTATATATATATATTGTTTTTCTACAATGTATTTTACTTTTTATTTAGAAAAAAAAATAGTCTTTCCCATTAACAGGTAACCGGTTAATTAAGTGCTGGAATAGATTGTATTGAGCTAATCTTGTCTTTGAGGAGGAAGATGGGTTAGATGATTTCTCAAGAACCTTCCTAGCCTTAATTACTTCAGAAGTGGTAGCACCACAGAAAAGAAATTTCATCAGTGAAAGTGAAAAAGCACCATATTTGTGTGGGATATTAACAGAAGCATCACAAACATCCCTTGAAATAAAGAATAGCTAAAAAGTCCATGGCAGAGGTGTGTAGACAGGTTGGCAGTGGGGGACATTTCCCATGTGCTGGAGATGTACACGGCACCACTCTCCATAGCATTAAACTAGCTATATCTCTGAGCCCAAAAGAGGCAGGGAGAGAGGAAAAAAAGTGTGATGTTATGTTACCATGTGTTAGCACACTGTAGCTTGAGGGTATGTAGGGGGTGTAGATTACAAGCCACCAAAAAGGAGGGGTTCTAATGGAAATTTGGACAGGCGCTGTATGAGCAGCAGACTTGAAGTTCTATCAGAAGATAACAATATATCAGCCATCTGCCGATGCACAATAAATAACATAAAAGTATTTTGCCTGCAGGCTGCAAGCATCACTGATAACTGGATAGCAAAAACTTTTGGTTGAGTGTATATCCTGTGTAAAGGGTGACCAGAATTGATTTGATAATCAGGCTGAATGACATGCAGTCAACAAAAATTTATTACGAAGTCATGGAGAACTAAAAAAAAAAACAACCAAAACCCCACCAAACAAAAAACCTAAAACAAAAACCCCAAAGAAAATGGAAAGAGGGAAGAATAATTCTTTGCCAATGGTGGATGCTGATGTGTTGTTTTTTCTATGATCACTAAACATGGATGGCTCGATAAATGCCATTGTGCCCACTGAGTTAATACTGAACCAATATTACAGTAGTAAAGATCATGTTTAATTATACTGGCTATAATTAAAGCACATAGAATTACATTCATAATTATATTTTCATACCTGATAATTTAAAGAGGGACTTCTCTTTCCCCATTCAAAAATTAGGTGCCTAGTTTAAGTGAATTGCCCTTAGCACTTGCTGGATAAAGAGGTGTCTCCAAGGCATGATTCACCTCATGTCTCTTGGAATTACATAAATTCCCTTCTCTGGGTCTCTCTCTTTCTCCACTGACTACAGATGGAGTCTAGAGGACTTGTATGAAGAAACGCTTGAGTTTCATATACATAAATTTAGCCTAGGTAATGATCACCCTTAAATTCTTCTGCATTTCACAAGACCACTGGCACTTGCTTCAATGTCTGGATGAGTTCAGATGGATATATTTAAAGGTATTTCTGCATGCCTGGAGTTGTATATGAAACACTTACTGCCTCCCACAAACTATGTGCTGTGTGTGGCAATGCAGAGAAGGTGGATTTTGCACTCAAGAGTGTAAATGAATAATTCATTGGTAAAATAATCTTTGGGAAAAAGGATCCTGGGGGAAAATGATGAGCTTGTTCCTCAATGGACAGTGCTAATTAAGTGATCTGCAATAGCCTAGAGGGGTACTAGGAGGAGGTTGACAAAACTGTGTTAATTATCAGAAAAGGCTTGTTGTTAGTTAACTCTGAAGGGAAGACTTAGCCTCCCAGTTATTCACTCGGGAAGATAATCTCATGGAATCTTGGGGGGGGGAAAAAAAAAAAAAAAAAGAATTTAAAGAGAACATCTAGTCATACCATGTATCTGCTGTGAACAACTTAATAGTTATTTCCTCCTGTCTGCACACTCTTGTTTTTACCTGGCAATTTTTCATGCATTTCAAAGGTAAAAAAATCAAGAATGGACAAGATTTTTTTTGTATCATGCAAACAGTAGCTTGCACAGAGACTCTTCCCATTAAAAAGCACTAGGTAGTATTAATAACTAGGTCTAGTAGCTAGTATTACCACTACTAAAGTAGGCTCTCCTTTTAATAGCAACTCATTTGGAAGCAGTGGCTGGGTTGTATAAGGATTAAAGCTGGGGTCTAATAGGGTTTGGTTATGAAGCGTGATGAATGCATGGGACTTTTGGTCCAAGATAAAGTGGTAGGGGAAAGAGAGAAAAGAGAAAATGCACCAGCCTAGCTGACCATCTTCATATGCTTTGCAAGACAAAGGACAACTCTTCTGGGCAGCAATGCATGCTGGAATCAGAAACTGTCCATTTGACCAAACCCTGTGCAGGCAGGTTTCTGATCTTTTGCTTGCTTGGTTGCTGGTGTCAGATGCAAGGGCAGTAGGATGGTGACATCTCATATCTACAGACCACAAAAGGGTGTGATGGAGCTTCTGCTTCTCTCCAGAAATCTTTAGTTCCCACTGACTCTTCCCTGGACTACCAACACGAGAGCACCTCACATAGATACCAGACAACCAATGTTCTCCTTAGGCGTGAGCAGAACCCAGATCTGAGTTTTAGTTAGGTTCTAAGATAGGTTTGAATTGAATCCAAGTTATCCAAGACCCAAACATGGTTTCAGGTCTCATTGATCTCAGTGAAGACCCAATGGCAAAACATCTGTTATAGCAATTGGACTTGGTGATGTTTTCGTGTTGTATAATCTGTGAAGGCTTTTTTTCACACATTCCCTCCCATTCCTGCACACACACACATGCACATATCTACACACAAACATCCTGGTTTTCTGTAGTATTTTCTTAAACTGAAGTCCAAATTCAGCCCTCTGTAGAGTTTTTGATTTCCCTTTTTACCGAGTATCTAAGTGAGGTTTTACACTCATGCTGGCCATGCAGCTTTACCAGACAGAGGCAAAGAACAAAGAGAAAATACTTTACCATCTTCAGAGATGATAAATCTGAACAGTGCAGGACACTTGACAAAGACAATTTCACCCACACTTGCAGGTTTCCAGCATGTAATATTGTCCCACATTCCTGGACAACCTATAGAAGAGAAGGAGGGATAAAATACATTAGTAGTGGAAATCCATTCCTTTCTTCACGCTGTTATTGCACGTTATAGTTGGTTCTCTCTTATCCATAAAAATGAGCTTGTTTAGAATAATAAACAGTATCATTTTCTAATATGCTTTTCCTGGAATAAAATAATTTTCATTCATAGGAATAGCATAAAACATGTAGTTGCATGGCCCAATAATGACCAGACTACCCTAGAAGAAAACTTTTCTTAGTCCCAGTTGAATCACTCCAATATATACTAGTAACAAATTTTCCCTTGAACATTAAATCTACTGCCATGCAGCTATCTTTTAGTATAAATTAGCTATCTTTCAGTATTGCCAAGTTAATCTTTACGCATCTTTGATTTATATTGTACACATTTTTGTTGGCTCTAATCCTTGTCAAAGGTTGGGTACTGGCACATTTTGGAATTTGATCCAGGGAGATGACTGGAAACTGAAAACCAGATTCTGCTTCATCCTACAATGAGTTTTGTGCATATGTGGGGGAAGCTCACCTCTTTCATGTGGTTCATTTTCTTAAAAAAATATTGGAAGCAGAAATCTCCTCCATTAGTAAAGAACCATCATAGTATCATTCACTACCTTTACTGCAATTTTTGCCCTACAGAATATAAACTCACAATGTCAAAAGTATTATTTTGACCTCTAATGATTTATTGGATAAGCTAAAGACACCAGGCCTTTAATAATTGTTAAGAGTTCAGGCTTCAGGTAACAAGGTTTGAACTAAAGAACTGTGTGGTAAAGAACCAAACTTCTGTTACATGCATGAAGAAAGAGGAGATGATGGGATTATGGACGGGAGCTGTGTTCTCTTAGGATATAGGAAGTATTCAGGTCTCGTGCTATTGTAAATACAGCAAAGGAACCCAGCTCCTGCTTCTTTCTGATCACTGTGTCAGAGACATGGCAAACTATGACTGGCTCACAAGAAGCATAAGCCCTCCTGTAATTCTGTAAACCACCATCTTACTAGTTCATAAAGCTAAAAGACCTACTCAGTGTACAGAAAAACTCAGAGCAATCTCTCAAATTTCATACAAATGTTTAAAAAAAAAAAAAAGACTTAGTGAAGGAATCTCAAATGGGAATCATCTTCTACCTCAGCAAGGAAAAGAAAGAAAAATGAAAACTAGATATCTCCAATACTCATTTACATTTGAAGTTGAGATTGAGCACATAATCTTATCAACTGTTCAAAGCCACAAGCTCCACAATTTTCTAAGTGGTTTTCTGTTGATATACTCTCTCTTTGACTATGTACCAGGAAAAATAAGATCTTCAGTAAAAGTAGATAATGCTTCAAACTGTCACACTTTCAGCCTGGACCAAGTAAAATATAATGAGCTTTGGGTGATCAACTTGTAAAAACAGCGTGAGCTTTATCAGCCTTGGTGATAGTAGCAGATTTCCATCAGTGGAGAATGTATGGTCACAGGGCTGGACTTGGTTTATTTTTATCATCAGCTTCAGAGGCAAGGAATCAAGCCCTGTGTTTTTTCACAAAATATAAGCCAGATACTACCATACATGGTGGGTAGGGCAGTTCTGAGTGATATAGTGTTTGAAGAATTATGTTAGTCTCAAATAACACTGTTAGGATGTTATATGGCATATGATAAGCACTTGGTAATCATTCTTTCAAATTAAAGGATGCAGCATCAGATCACATCACGTAAATAAATAAGCATGCAAAATCCTGATCCTATTAGCTAAAAATCCTTCGGCTTTGCCAGACGCAGCAGAATACAATATTACTGCAAAAATGCTCACTAATTCATTTCCAGCAGAAGCTGTAAAAAAGGAAACCTTTACATTTCTCTCTCTTCTTTCTTCCACTCCTACCCCAAGTTGTTTACTTTGCCAGATGGGGATCTCATTGTGTGAATACTGTGATTCACTAGAACATCTCCAAAAGGCTCCAAGTCTAGGGTTTGAAAAGTTTTTTGATACAATCAGCATACTAAAGATGGAAATCAAGATCACATTGAGTGCTATTAGATTTATTGTCTGTGATAACTAGTGCCTGTCCACGCAGTAGGAACTGTATTTACCATGTAAATCTGCAGACATGTAGTAATAGGTTTATAGTTCACTGATGTATGGCACTCTGTACAAAAGTAAAGGATATGTAAATATCCATGGTAATGAGACATTTGCTTACAAGAGGTGTTAGAGACAACCAGAGCAGCTAATGAGATCCGAGAATGCGAGCCTTGCTCACTTAAAATAAATGAGTTTTAAAGGAATAGGGAAATTTGTTATTATTACTTCAACATCAATTGTCTTCCGAACACTGGGATGGCAATAGACACTGCAAACCAACCTAAAGAAATGCAAGGCAATCCTCATACTGCAGCCAAGAAGGTATAGACATGGAATAAATATTTCATAGCACTGTCTTTCAAATTCAGTTATACCAAGTGGCTGCTTTTGTAGTAATACCATGCAGAGCTAAAAAATAGCCCTATTTAAAAAGACATTATAAGTTCATTGTGCTATAAAACACTGATGCGCTGACATTGGAAGACAGGGATACAGAAGCAGAGAGGTAAGTAATGTGCCCAAGTTACTAAAATAGGTGAGTGATGGAGATGGGAAAGAATTCATAATCAAAGAGAATATTGTCTGATCCTGCTTAGAAAAACATATTTGAAACAAACAACATATAAAAGCAAAGAAAAGAATGACAAAAAATAATAAATCTAATAAAGGCCAGTGTGCATAATCCCCTTACATTTGTAAACCATGATACAGCCAGCAACTCCCACTGGGTGAAATCTGCCCACGGAAATCAATGTGACTTGAGTGTGGAACTGCACAGTGGGGATCTCCTCTAGCACTGACGGTATGTCTCCACTGCCGTGTGATGTGCCGTGTGATGTTGGGGTGCCCGAGCTAGCTTTGAAAGAGGTAGCTCAGACACTGCAAGCAGCAAGGCGCAGCTTCAAGTGGGCAAACATTCCTGGTTCTTAGCATGTTAGAAATCAGTAATAACAACAGAGAGTTTTAAAGAATAAGTTTTCATATGGAGCAGAGTGAAAAGTGATGGTCTTGTTAATGGATGGTCTTGAAAACAGGGAACCTTGTAGAAAACACAAACTCTGCCTTCCCTTCCCACATCTACACTGCAACCCGCATACTGAAATTCATTTTTAGTAAACTTCATGAGATTCATCTCAGTAAGTGATGTAAAGCTTGGCATGTGATCTTGGGTAATTACTTATGCCCTGTTTATAGCATGGGCAGAAGAGTGCTTCATCTTATTCAGCTGCCACGTCCTCTCTGATGGGATAGATGACCCTTTGGGAGCCCCCATTGCTTGTCACTTACTTTTGAGGTAAGACAAAGTAGTCAGTCAACTATTGGATTATTGTTACCATTCTTATTTCAGGATTGGTTTAACTTCAGGTGGCTAAGACCTACCCTTCTACCCTATTCAGCTAAGCAAAGTTTCCTCTGTAGTTCATGTAGTTCATGAAGAGAGACTTTCCAACTAGGGGTAATCCCATTTTATGGTGGTGGTGGTGGTGAATCACACTGTAAGTGTACTTCCATCTCTCCACTGACTACAGTCAGTAGAACGAGGCTAAGAACTAGCTTAGCCTAGACAGCTGCCTGTTCAAAGGCTGAAGCTTGTGTTTGCCATAGAGTCTCTATGGGGTCTTTTGGAGAAGACATGAATCAACTCTACCCTCTGGGCAGAGGGCTGACCAGTGGCTATGCAGCCTCCCTTAGCCACTTTCTGATCTTGAGCAGAGGATTCCAGCTGCGGCAGGTTACTGCCGGCTATGAATGGTGCCAGCATAGCTGTGCAGCTCCTGAGTAATTCACACGACAGGCAAACCGCAGTGGCTGCTTATGAAAAGCCACATGATCAATCCCTACATCTCTGTCTCAAGCTTCTTCCTGTAAAAGCGAGATGAAACTCATGTTTAGACTGCAAGCTCCCCGTGGCAGGATCCACCTTGTACTGTTCTTGTGAAATGTACTCCAAAAAAACCCAGTCCTGATTTCAGCTGAATCCGCAATATGGATTTTATATGAATTTCATATGAAGCCCACAACACCTAAGTTTAAATTCAATATTATGGAAGCTGAGGGGAGTGCCTCATATACCTAAAGATGGATCTGACTTGGGAGCAACCGAAAAAGAAGAGCACTTTCAGAGAAAGACCAAATTTCATAACGAGGAGGAAACTATGGGTATTTATCACTGCAGAACCTTCTGATGCAATTTTAAAATTATACCAAGCACTGAAACCATTCTAGTCATCCTCTCTCCGCGGAGGTTCACACAAGCCTTATTCCTGTCCTTTGCTTCAAATTAAGCCTCCAGGAGAAAAACACTTTCTCTTCTAACCTGCTACTCCTGGCAGCTGAAAGGCTCCCTTCTTACCTGAAATATTGGGACAAGCACCAAGAGAAAAAAATAAAAAAACCTGAAGCAAGTCATGCTGGCAGAATAGCAGGTATAAAGAGCTCTTCTGAAATTGTTTAGTACCTTATCTTCTTATTCTCTCTGTCTAAGGCTGTCCTGAGAGTCCCAGTTTTGATAGTGGCTGGATATAAAACCAGATTTTAGGCAACCCCATAGCTGAAGTTCACCGCGTTCAAGGCACAGACCTTACTTTAAATCCACTGAGAATAGGATCTGCTATCTTCCACCAACACGGAGCCGCTATGTCACCAGGGCCATGTACAAGTTGGTTTTTTCTATAGATTTATGTCCTATTTTCTCCTGGTGTCTCTGCTGCAATACCCTCATTTACACTATATTTAAATCCTCTTAACAGTATCCACAACAACCTCCAATGTCCTTATCCTGTCCCTAGTGCAAAATGCCTCCTTCTCATCTCTGCTAACTTTTTGGCAAGAGGAGGCACAAAAGCAGAGATGTGAGGTTTGTAAGGCAAGGCCCTGTGTACTAATTCACTGCTCACTCGTTCACTCCTCTTA